AATACTATTTACAAAATAAACTGTATGAACTGTAACAGGCATTAGATCGGTCAAAGTGGGCGTCCCCTTCGAATCAGAATCCAAGAACACAAATCAGCCGTGAAAAGACACGATATATATTCTTTTATATCAATGCATCTAGACGATTATGGACATCAGTTTGATTGGGATGAAGTCGAAATCTTAGATAGACAAAACACAAAGAGTGCAGTCAGGGAACTCCTAGAAGCCTGGTACCCAAACGAATATACAATTAACAAACACGTTAATATAGACGAAATATACCAACTAATAAAAGGTGAATCATGAGACCAGAAGGTTTAAAATCCAAGTCAATAGAAAATGATCAATACAGATGTAAAGATGGTTACTGGGAGACGCAGTTATATCACTCACGAAGAAATTTAAATCATTTCACTTTATGCTGAAAATGGCGCTGGAAGGGGATGTTGTCCAGAAGGGGGACGACGAAAGTTCCGCAACTAGACCAACCAGAGAACACTATTAATTGTAAATCATCCACCTGAGCTACAAATCTCTATTATTTCAAAATGGTTTTCATTGTTGTAATACATAGAAGACTACTACTTCTTCTGCAGGACCTATATGGATTCCAATCAGACACTTATTGTGCATGCATATAAATTATGACTGATAGGCGGTTAGCCCTGATGTACTCAGTGCTAAACTAGATATTGAAGTCCATATCTAGCTAGAGTGGAGTTGAAAGGACATTTAGCTGAGCATGAAAACAGTATTCGTCGTTAAGATCCCTAGCGCTAAATTCCTCTTGAGCAGAAACAAAAGTTAAAACAATTTACGCATGGCAGCCGAAGACATTTAAAAGTTGGTGTAGGTCTTAATACTAACCGATTAATGTAAGAAAAGTGGTCTCAATGGACCCTACCAAATATGACTCAGTTCAAATACTATTTAATTGTAAACTGGCTAATTAGTCGAATCAAATCAGTCAATGAGAGTGTTGATCACCATCGACTGGGATTTCCGCGACATTTTTCACACATATTCAAGGATTGCCTTCAAAGAGGAACAATGTTAAATGATTTGGGATTAGTTTCGAACAGAGTTAAGGATATTCATTGCAAAAAATAACATAAAACCATGAAGTCACGAAAAATGTTTAATCTCAACCAAACATGCAAGCTAAGGTTATCTTAATGAAACTTTCAGAATGCTGGAATCGGAAAGTTTATTCTATATAATAATACTGTTGAACAACTCAGATTTACAGAAGTGGATTATTATGCATTTGAAAGTTATCAGGTTTCAAGTATTTACATTATAGGGAAGATGATTGACTATGTGGTACGGATATTAGACTCCAAACTAGTGTATTCAACTGAAGAACTCATGATTCTGGTTTATGATTTATATTCTCTACATCAACTCACCAAAAAAAACTCGAATCAATCTGTAAAGATCATATATTTACTAGTTTCACTCCTGCATTTTTTTGTTGTTGATTGGACACAAGTCAGTAACTAGTGTAATGTGTATGTCTAGTCCTATCTTTTGGCGCAGAGTGAATACTATCAGTCAGGTTTGTAATGTAGCCACCATGCAAGGTGGCTGGCTCTCTATCACGGTAAACTTTGAATTACTCGTGTTAGATGGTTGAAGGCAATCAGCAGGAAGCCTTGTTCGACCTAGGTTTCGTAGTAGTTGCCATTCAACAGCAAGGCGTGTCTACAACCGTGAAAGAACTTATTGCAAACTTGACTGATAGAATTCAGTCTACACCGAAGATACCACCAAACTAGTGTCCGATTAACAACAAAATATCCAATACAAGAGATCAGTTGAAAGCCTGAATAGCTCAGTGGTAACGTCTCTGGCTGCAGACCCACTGGGTGACGCAGGTTCGAATCTCAGAAGGGACATGAGTTCCCTCAAGGTTGCATATACGCCTTGCTGACTGATGAGGGTCAACTAGCATGAAACCTAGGTCGAGCAAGGCTTCCTGTGTCCGATTGCCTCCAACCATCTAATACAAACTCCTGCATTGTTTTAAAGTAGAATAGTTACCTACAGACTTTATTATAAATTGAATTTAAACAGCTTTATAGAGCTTCAAAACGCATGTACATTATGATAACTGAATTTTCTCCTTTTATACAAAATTTATGAATTTAATTTTGTCATCTATCTGTGACTTAGTCTTGTGATTGACGTCAGCTGTAAAAACTCAATAACCCTTATTCAGTATTGTTTCATATCTTGATAAAGGAAATATGAAACATCCACTTAGTTGAAGCCCCTATTATTTTTTTTCAGCTAGTAGATAACGATCTTTACACAAATATTTCAGCTGTATCACTTAGAATAGACAGTGTTGTTTTTGACTAAAATTTACAGTGAAGAAATTTAACAACTAATATCGTAACATGTTATGTTACTTGAATGAGTCTCATGTCAATCAGTATGTTTCCTCGCCTCTCTCTCTCTCTCTAATTAATGCTATCTGTCTATGATAATTTGCAACTTTGTTCATTCCTCTTGCTTGCCACCTAACTAGTCTCTCTAATGTTCAAGAATTTTGCAGAAGACGTCAGGCTATATACCACTTGTAAATTCTCTGTCACAAGGCATACGCCATAGTAGTAGAGGAAGAGGGAATATTTACGAAAGGGTGAAATTTTACTCACAGACTTTGCAGTTTATTCTATAATTATAAATAATGATTAAGAATAGGTGATACTTGCTCATAGACTGATAGAATTCATGTGAGAATGACAAAATTTAGTTTATACACACTGTGTAGTTGATAGGCATACTAATATTTTTGTTAACCACTGATTGATATCAGTTAGAGAACCGTTGGAAATCACCAGAGAGTACTGGACAGCGGTTTTGTCAGCCTAGTTCGGGACTATTCAGCAGTGCGCACTCACCACCAGGGTTCGAACCCATAACCTTGCAGTAACAAGGTAAGCTGGCTCGTATACTATTCAGCCACTGGGATCCGATTCACTGACCAGCCCATCAATTCTAACTTTTACCACCAATTCGTGATTTATCGCGACTGGCACCAACCAATATCATCGGCGGGAAATCCATCCTCACTTCCGACTGGACAGATCTCACTGGTCACGACTTCTCACTAGAACTCCAGGTAACCTCGTCTTGTATCCAGTCACTAGAAAGCCTCAGATTACGTTTCAATCGGTGGTCTAGCCTGAAGAAAATAAAATCCCTACAAATTAACTCTTGTTAATAAGTATTTGTTTGATAGAAAAAATTAAAAATACGGTTGTATCGGAGAAAATTTTCCTTACAAATAAGTCATCAACTTGGTTGTACATGTGTGTATATATATAGATAGGAAAGGGGTGAGGAAGTTCCACAACTACTTCCGGTGGAGGGTCAAATTATAATCAATAACAAGATTACAGACAGGGAAAAGAGAGTAGTAAACAGGAAGTTGGGATAAAAACCACTGTGGGATAATAATTATTAAAACAAATTGAATGTCTATGATGACCATGGTAAAAACAGAGGTTGGACGAACTGTTCTTTTGTTAAATATATAGATTTGGTTTGAATTTCTGGATCGTCTGTGCTTGAGCTAAGATTATATGATAGATTTTAATTTGTGGATGGTGACCAGCAGTGGAATTCAGAATGCACATTTCGCCTGTCCTATCTGGCACTCATCAGCTGGATGTACGTGCATTTCCCAGTGAGTGATGATGTTCCAACTGAGCGTGGAACCCAGTGACCACAGTTTCAAATGCCAAAGCGTTATTCACTAGACCAATTGGTCCACGAGAGCCACCTCTTATGCAACGGGTCATATTAATTTAATTTTGTAGATTTTCCCGCCGATTGATTGGACTGGAGTGCTCGATCTCAGGTTGACATGTCGGAGTCTTGTGCACATGCTTCAACGATGTCTGATAACCCGTTGCAAATGAGGTGGCTCTCGTGGCCCACGTGGTCTAGTGCTTAACGCTTTGGCGTTTGAAACTATGGGAACTGAGTTCCGGCCTCGGTGGGAATATCATCACTCACTGAGGAATGCACGTACATCCAGCTTATTAGTCCCAAATAGGACAGGCGAAATGCGCGTTATCCTGGATTCCACTGCTAGTCACCATCTACGAATAAAATCCTAATTACATGCCCAGACATCGTCGAAGCATCTGCACAAGAAGCCGACATGTCAACGCGAGACCGAGCAATTCGGTCCAATCAGTCGACGGGAAGATCTAAAATTCAATTATATGTGATAGATTATTTAAAATAGGATAAATGAATTTCTAATGCTTTCTTAGCGTGCATTTAATTTCCGAATTACCAGCCGCTGCCCTGATATCAAGATAAAATTGAATTATTTTTCAAGTGATGGTTTGTGAGGATTTGATTGATTGGTTACAGGATTTCATCATGAGCTGACATTAGTTAGAGAACCATTGGAAAACTTGTAGGGAGTACTGGACAGCTGTTTCGTCCTAGTTTCGAGACTCCTCATAGTACGCACCCATCGGGATTCTAACCCAGGACCTTCTGGTTACAAGGCGAGCTCGTATACCATTAAGCCACTGGGACTTGATCCAATGGCCAGTTCGTGAATAGCGCGACTTCTAGTCGTGAATTGGCAGAAGTTAGAATTCATAAACTGGTCATTGGATCGCGTCCCAGTGGCTCACTGGTCTATGAGCTCGCTAGCCTCGTAACCGGAGGGTTCTGTGTTCGAACCCTGTCGGTGGATAATACTGATGAACAGTCCTAAAACTAGGACGAAACAGTTGTCCAGTACTCCCAAGTTTTCTAATGGTTCTCTAACTAATGATGAATTATTTTTATTATAAATATTTATCATTAGTAGTTCTTGTTGCTGTTGTTGTTGTGGCATTATTTATAATATTTTTTTAATGCCCTGAAATACAATATGACTTTTCACATTTTTAGTAAAATTATCTGACCTGAAATCACGTCAAAAATGATGTATTGTAATGCATTCTTATTCCCCCTGACAGGTATGAACCATGTGAACCGGAGATGACATCTATGAAGCCGGGATTTCAATAAACAAAACAACAAAAAAAGTGCAATTCAGGACATCGTATATCATATACACATATATTTGTACATATGTGTTGTTTATCTATGCTCACATCATGAAGAAATAAAGAGTTACAACTGTATAAAAGCTATATTATCAGTGTGCATAATTATGTAATATTATCTATTATTATTATTATTTATATACAATTTTTAACTAATATTTTACAGGTATTTTATTGATTTTGTCAGCTTATGATAAGTGTATTACTTGTATACATCTACGATCACCATGTTTTCTAAAATTGTGAACAATTAATAAAAACTTCTACGCCTTTTTATTATTCATCGTGATTTCTTATCTTCTCAATGAAGAGAATCTTCCATTTGAAGAATACAAGACTTACTCCAGCCAATGTGTTTTTTCGCCCAGCAACATCTTTTCATAGCAAATGTGATTTCCTCTCGTGTTATAATCATCAATCTTATTCTAATTAGCCAAAAAAAGAAAAAAAAACACAACCGTTTGATGTCTTCTTAAAATCTGTTTCTGTACAAAAATCTTCATTTAATCTTTGTGATTTTTTGCTTAGAAAAAAAAACCTATCATGAAAATGTTCAACACAATACCTGATTGTTAATTTCCTTATTACCAACTAGAAAATAAAAATGAATTCATCATTTTGTACATGGTACATTTATAATTACTATTGATTGACCATTTTACCAAGGAAACCTGTGATTGATCGATTGATTGATTGGTGAAGATTATATTATCCAAATAAAAATAAGATATTGATAGAATATAGTCTTTTATTATAATACAAAAAGTAGCTAGCTTTGATACTCAGCACGGCTCAGGTTTTCATTTGCATTACACCAAATTATTATTATTATCATTATTTATTATTGCTCCCTTGGGCTCCTAGTGGAACATAGGGCTTCAGTTGCGCATCAGCACTTCCATCTGTCTTCCTTCTGCTGTAATTTTCACCTGCATCCATATTAGTTAGTCCATACTGTTTCAACTCCTCTTCACACAATCTCCTCTATGTCACCCTTGCACTGACGTCCCACTCACGGCTTCCCTTTCGGCCTGGTTCCATTCGACGGCTTGACGTGCGATGTCACCCAGTGGCGGTCTCCTCAGCGAGTGTCCGATCCATCTCCACTCCATTTCATGCATATTCGTTGGTTGGCGATTGGTTTGTTCTTGTTTTGTTTGTTCTCATAGTTTCTTGTTGGTGATTCTTACCGCTGAACTGGTGTATTATGACATGCACTGTGCCAATTTTGGCGGCCTGATTAAATTTGGGTTATGGAAAAATCACATCGATGTTTCATAGATATTTTCGCTCGTTCAGTTTGTTTAAATCTGATAAAATATAACCTTTAATTACGCTTTATACTCTGGTGAATATTTAATGTGCCTTAGAGCTTGCTGATATTCGCAAGTTTCTAGTTATCGTGAGAAAATAATATAATTTTCGATTGGGGCATATTGTGCTGCAAGAGATAGATGTTCGTAGGTCGTATCCTTGGTTCACAGAATGGATTCCTGAACATTATAATTTCTAGGTTTGCACTTCACTTCAGGTAGAAGTGTTTCACATGGTCTACCGTCACGTGATATTTTTTATTTGAAGATCCTGGAGGATGAGAAAATATTATGCAACAAACCTCGCTAAAAAATTTTGTACAATATATAAACGCTGTACAAAATAAAGCTATTTATTGGAATTTAATTGGTGGATTGTGACTAGCAGTGGAAACCAGGAAAAAGCGCATACGCCAGATACGCCTATTCTTCCGTGGTTCCGATTACGCTTCACTAACCCACGTAAAAATCAATAGACAAAGACTGCCCTGTGACTGTTAGGACACAGTTTTACCACATTAAAATTGACTCAGGGCAGTGGAATTAGATTGGTTCATAGGTGATTCAACTAGGCTAGGCGAAAAATAAATATTCTGATTGGTTAACGATTTGATTAAGATCAAGATGAGAAAAAGATGATGGAATTTTATAGTCATCCGATCACACGATGAATCATAAAATGATCTGATTCCTATCAAGTATGAAATCCAGTCATATGACACTGCTATACACGGCTGTTGCATGGCATAGTTCTTTCTCCTAAGTCGACACAATTAAGTTATTTTCAGGTATTGGTTTTGTAGGGATATTTGTTTGATTTCATAGAGGATTTCATCATGAGCTGACATCACTGTGAAGCCGTGACCAGTAGAGTACATTAGGTTGAAGATGAGGCAGTAACTCATCGAAGAAAACATTGAGAAACGGTCGCGCTATGCCGTGAGTTGGGAGAAGTTAGAATGCAAGGACCATCGGATCGAGTCCCAATGGCTTAATGGTCTACGAGCTCGCGTTGTAACCAGAAGGTCCTGGGTTCTAAGCTTTGCGGTGGGTGCGTACTGATGAAGAGTCCTAAACTAGGACGAAACGGCTATCCAGTACTCCCTGCAGGTTTTCCAATGGTTCTCTAACTGATGTCACCTCATGATGATATCCTCCATACAGTTTAGTTACTCAGTTTTGTAGTCAAATTCCCGATTTCCTTAATAAGTGGTAAATGTTTGAATTTCATAAGAAATACCAAACGTTTCAGAGTTGAAAGCATTTTTTATTGATTGGAGCAAAGAAGAACGAAACACAAGTCTAGAGCTTCATGTTCTCTTAATCCTAACACCTAATTAGAACTGTACCAGCAATTAGTAGCGCATTTTTATCTACAAGAAAACAATGTCGTGGATCATGAAACCATTGTGTCGCGTTGTTGTTCTTAAAATGGAGATTTTACAGATAAGTAAACCATTTTAAACCGATATTACAACTTATTCTGTATTTTTCAAGTATTGGTTTTGTGGGGATTTTTGTTTAATTGCATGGAGGATTTCATCATGAGGTGACTGCAGTTAGAAAACTATTGGAAAACCTGCAGGGAGTACTGGACAGCCATTTCGTTCTAGTTTGGGACTCTTCATCAGTATTTCTTTCTCTCTGTCATGTTTAGACTGTTGTATAGACTTTATGACAACAGGAGTGTGTGCTCTGATCCTTCCTCCCTTTCAAGGGAGTTCACAACTCAACTCTTTCTATCCTTTCTTAACTACACCTTCAGAATAAGTTAACAATCAATCTTATTTCAGTTAAGCAAATACATTTTTTCTACTATTCTCGTCAATTCGTAGAACATAATGTGAAATTTAAAAAAAACGTCTCCAGCTACTGTCTACTGGCATTTATGAGATTTAAGTTATTTATTTTTTAAATTTTGTCACATAGCTCTTTCCTGGTATGAATGAAGTCAGTTAAAATCTGGTATTTTGCCTAATCAGAGAGTCAATGTTTATGAACTTAAGTCAATATGTGAATGCTGAAAATGACTCTCACTCAGATTATACAGAAAGGAAATATTCTGTAAGAATACAAAGTGACCAGAAACTAAAGCTTTCTTTGTATTGTTAAAGCCGCATGAATAGTTCATTAATATACATTAAGAATTGAAGTAATCAGATGTTTGCCGATTTAAAGTCAATAACTATGTTAATAACAAAAAAAAACCCAACAAAAACCCTGATATTTGTATGTTAAATACGACAATGGGAATTATAAAATCTAAATGTTAATGATAGGCATTCTCATGAGACTGTTTTACCGGCAGTCTTATCGAAATCATAAATCTAAGTCACTTGGTGAAATGTTTAGGCTAGAGGCTCCTTATGATTCAGACTTTCTTTAAAGTCTTATTTTAAAATATATGTCAGTTATTTCCTATTTAGAGAAAACAGAGGTGGTGATGATTCCTGGCCAACACTAACAGCAACAACAACAACAGACAACAATCAGCCAGCATAAATGGGAGAAATCTGAGAGAAGTAACCTCCTTTACCTACCCACCTACCTGTTAAGCGCCGTTTCAACTACAGGCGGACGAAACTAGTGAGGATATCAAAGCGAGAATCGGGAAAGCAAGACAAGACTTCATTACTCTTAAGTCTGTGCGGAGGTCAACACTCAGCATGAAAAATAACATCCGGATTTTCATAAAGAGAACCTCAAACAAACTGCAGACCTTCATTAACAGTTGCCTTCACTCAATACTCAAGATCAGATGGTCAGAAAAGATCAGCAACAGGGATCTCTGGCAACGAGCGAACCAACCAGGAACCGATTGTCCAACAAATAGGCAGGAAGAAATGGAGATGGATTGGCTGGCCATACTCTGAAGAAACCATCAAGTGACATCACTAGACAAGCCATCACTCGAGTGGGACCCGAAAGGGAAGCGGCGAGTTGGTCGTCAGTCAGAGGATGGGGTGACATGGAGGAGGTCATGTGAAGAGGAGATGAAATCATGTGGGCAGACTTGGAGCCAGGTGGAAACTCTAGCAGAGAATCGAACGCAATGGAGACGCGAGGCTGAAGCCCTATGTTCCGCTAGGAATTAAAGGAAATAATAATATAGTAATAATTTCCTATTTCAGATGAGAATTCTTCTTCTCATTTTACTAAGTTAATGACAAAATGTATCTCCTACAATCTTCAGTTTTATACCAGTGGGAAACAAACAGCCTTAATTTAATTAATGCATGAGTTGACTAAATGGTACTTATCACACATACACAGTAATATAAGGGTATGCCTGACATTCTCTTGCTTGACACAATACCTGCGTCCTTTACAACCAACAGACTCATCGATACTGTTCTGAATAAAACTATTTGTATGCTTATACAGATGTATGGGACAATATATCATAGATATCTCTATGTTAAACCTATTTTCGAAAGATAGAACTTGACTCAAGTCTATTTATTCAATCATTTGTTCATGTGATTATTAATGTCATGCATATCTGCTCATATCATTCATGCATTAACCAGTTTCCATTAAATTTCACTGATTTAAAACATGGAATTCCATTTTGTACTATGATACTTGATTCAAAATACACATTTCCTAATAATCACCTCTACTCTCGGCTGTTTAATGAGACATATTTGTAACTCTGACACTATGGATGACGAGCTGAACATTTCGAAACAGAAAGCGTTCTAAAACAAGCGATAAAGGTTAATAAAGCAGTATTTAATGATGGATTCATCAAATTTCTGTAGAACTCGTCAGCTGAATACTCTACATACATGGATATATATACTTTTGAAATTACATTGGGAGATATAAGACTGATAAGTAAACAAACTGCATTGAATTCGTCATGTGGAAAGACAGGTGCAAATGTTTCCCAGGTCATGTTCAAATAGATAAGGGGAGAGAGAGGGAGTATGAGAGATCAAAATTAAGATAAATTGCATTACGCTTCAATTACATCACTTAGATAAGTTATTAGGGAATATAACAAGAATTGCAAGCAGAGTAATATCAATAGTAATAGTTATAATAACAATAATAATAATACTACTGTTGAAGTGAGTTAAGATAATCCTACTGATAAAGGATAGTTTCAAATGAATCAAGAATAATAATCATATGTAAAGAATAATAAGTAAAACGTGTTACCATGGTAGATTCAGAGTCACGACCATCTCCTTTTGTATACAGAGAGCTGGTTTATAAACTTGAATTGCACAAGCCTCTGTGCAATAGCAAGCATCTTCCTGTTTCCTTCTCTGCTGACAATAGTGAATGACTTGACCGCGTCGATATCATATACGTAATCCACAAGATGTTTTGTTATTGAGATTTTCGGCACTTTGCACTCAGCTGTTTTCAACCATTTTGGCAAAAATGCTCCATCATGCGAGTAGACAATCGTC